ATTTATTTATTTATTTATTTGTTTGTTTATTTATTTATTTATTTAGCTTTATGTCCCCTTCGGCTCCCTTCAGGCGGTGTGCCTCATGTACCTGTAAGCTCCCTTTTTCGGACGGCCACAAGCGCTGCCTTTTTTGTTTGGGGGAGGGTCATCAACCTCACTCTTGCAGGCCCTGTAAGAACTTAACGAAGCCTGCCCTTAAGGCTAGACAACAGAGGCTGAAACTTTATTTGTGGGACAGAACTCTCTCCACGTCAAAACCCAACATTATGGAGACTGCCTCAAATCCCTCAGCTACCCCCCGTCTTGAGGATTCCACCGATTCCACGATGTCTGTGCCAGCATCTAAGGCTACGGGGAAAACTGCTAAGAAATCTGCCCCTTCAGCCGCTAAGAAATCTCTTACCTCGGCATCGTCTGCGCCACAAAAGGAAGACCTAAAAAAGAAAAAAGTACAGCCTAAAGACAAGCCCAACAAGCAGTCTACCAAAAAGGATCGGCATAGAGAAATTCCGCCAGTCTCTGCATCCTTACCATCACCCATCTTAGAGGATTCATCATGGGACCGTGATTCCCCTTTGGAGGCTGGCGATCCTATCCCTCTTCAACAGGCACCGGTGTCGGTCCCCATGCCGAGCTGTTCGCCATCGCCTAGCCAACTAGAGAATGGAGTCCACTCTAGTGCAGCTTCTGCCCATTACAGCCCTGTTCTGACCAGGCATGCGTTGAATATGTCTCCTTCACCATCCATCTCATCGGAAAGAGGCTCTCCACCTCGTAAGAAAACAACAAAAAGGAAGCATTTAGCGCCTGAGCGGCATCGACATTCTCGTCGAGAAGTAGTAATTTTACCTCACTCCTCTTGACGTTGCAGTCTTCCACTGATGATCCTATATATTTGACGGTGAATCAGAAATGCTCTCGACGTCGAAGAAGAGATTATGAATATTCTTCAGACTCCTCTTCTGACGTTGAACGGAAGCGTAAACATAAGATACGCTATGTATATGCCTCAACATCGTCATCCTTGTCTGCGTCCCCACCTAGGCATCGACGCCGAAAGTCCCTCAGCACCAAGGATGTGACCTATACCAAATCTAAGCAGCACAATGTCGAGAGAAAGTCTTCTAAACAGCCAAGTGTGTCATTGCCAACGCACACCAGTAAACATAAAATTGTTCAAACCACTCAACAGATGACCAGACTTAGTTCTCATACACAGAACACTCGAGCACCTCCATCCATTCCTCCTTCTGAGCAGGAGGGTGTACTGTCCCTTCCGCCTTCCGATCAAGAGGAAGACGTATATTCTGAGGACTTTGAAGAATCTCCTGTAGATGGTAGGACACCAGAATTGGATGCTGGGGACCCGCACACCTCCTCACCTTCTAAGGATTTTTCATCATATGCTCAGATGGTCTCCAGAATGGCAAAATATTTAAAGCTAGAAGCCAAGCAGCCCCCACAACCAAACGAGGACCTTGTCTTTGGGGACATTTTACAGGACAGAACCGCACCGCTTAGTCTGGCATTTATTCTGGCTCTTATGGAGCTGGTTAAGGAATCTTGGTCTCTTCCACCTGCTTTCACTCAGGTCACCCGTCACATTGAGAACCATTACCGTACACATGGTGAAGAGGCAGAGTTTCTACTCAAGCATCCTACCCCCAATTCAATTATAGTCCAGTTTAACACCTCAAGATCATCAGCTAGAGCCAAGGTGACACCTACTAACAGAGAAGGCCACAAACTAGACATCCTTGGGCGAAAGCAGTACTTGTTTGCTACATTCCTACTAAGAGTGGCAAATTATCAAGCTGCAATGGGAGCGTACCAAAAACAACTGTGGACAAGAATACTCCCTGCTTTGGAAGCAGCTCCAGAAGACACTAGGGAAACCTTCCTCAATACTTAGTCGGAGGCCATACAGTAGCTAAACATCAGCGCCTAGCCTCAAGGCATGCTGCGGATGTGGCATCTAAGTCCATGATTTTATCTATAGGTCTAAGAAGGCATGCAAGGCTGCGTTCCTCAGGTATAATGGAGGAAGCTAAG